GAAATAAATATATGGTAAAGTTGAGGATTAATGTTAAGGTTTATGTTAGACGAAAACACGATTCCGTAAAATTTTCTCGATAGAAAAAAAATCCAAAGTTACCTCCAAACTGAACAATAAACCGCTGTTATTCATAAAGTACTTTAAATAAGATCATGAAACTTTGCATACTAACTGAACTAACCATAAAGCAGTGCTTATGTTATTTACTTTTTTTAAAATATCATTATTTTCACTGTAAAAAGAAATTACCTAAACTATCGGCGCGTAAGCTTGGTTCCTGTCGCTCCGCAGGATATAAAACATATATATATATATATATATATATATATATATATATATATATATATATATATATATATATATATATATATATATATATATATATATAAATAGTAGCTTCCCAGGCAGACGTTGTTCTGCCCTTTACGATGACCCTTTGTCATATCCTAATCAAAATGCTTAAATTCGAAAAAAAATTTGGGTCCCTCATGTGCAAAAACTATCCTATGTCTAAGTTGGACCAAACTGCAAATTTGATTAAAGGCGGTTAAATAGTTTAGGAGTCCATCGAGGACCAACAACGTGACACATAATTTATATATATATATATATATATATATATATATATATATATATATAAATTTGTTATATATAAATTCAAATATATTCCAAATATCGTCACGCCTGTAATTTCTGAGGGGGTAAGCAAAGTTAAGAGCAGCGAGCTAGTCAAACGATGTTTAGCCACTTGGTAAAAGTAAAAAAAATACTTTCAATATCAATATCCTGTAATCTATATTGAATAAAATTATTGTATTATATTCTATTAAAAAAATATCATGCATAGTTTTCGTGATAATATCAAAAAAACTGAGCTTAACGCAATTTTGTACTATTTACCAAAGAACAGTAAAATAAATAGGTAATAAATAGGCTATAGGTAATATAGGTATTTGTAGGTATTTTTTTGTTCCATGCGAATGAAGTTGGCGGTAAAAGAATACATTCTGTACAATGAATAATGTCGCTATTGAATAAAAATATTTGTACGGATTTTATCGCGTATAATTAACTTTTTTTTCCGAAGTTTCGGGTGCTTTCCAGCATCCACGGTCATGGGTCATTGCTTGGGATCCTATAATTAACATAACTAAATCCAAACCCAAGCATAACACTGCAAGTTTTCAAGTTACCGTGAGCTCGTTCTGCGTAGATCAGACCAAAAATTAAATACGAAAACTGAAGGTGGCCGGGCTAACTACGATATTGGGACGTACTGTAAAGCTACGTTACTGTAAAGTACTTGAAACGTAAGGAATTAAAAATAAGTTAATTTTAAATGCAATAAAATCAGTACAAATAGTTTTATTCAATGTGTAGTGCATAGAGTAGAGTAATATATACAGAAAGTGTAGTGTTTGTGTGAATACAAGAAGTCATATCGTTCATAAAATTTAGTGTCCAGGGAGTTTCGGGGGCAATAAATGATCTAGCTAGGATTTATTTTTAGAAAATGTCCTTTTGTCCGTGTTTTCGGGCAATAAAAAAACTGCTACAATATAAGACAGATCACTAACGTGGTGGGATGTCGGTCGGGCGTGATATCGGAGTTCCGTGGTTCGCGTCCTGTCCGTGGTCCGGCTTTTTTCCTTTTTTTCAAGTTCCCTTCTTTTGTGAGAGAATCTATTATTTCAAGCCCTTTTTTTAGTATTTTTTAAAAAGTACGAAAATTTTAATAAAACTAATTGTACTCATGATTTTTTATTCAAATAACCAGTTCAGTTTTTTCTATTTTGTCAATAAGATCAAAAAATATTATTTATGTTTCATCAGTACGTAATTTATAGATGTAATTTCAAAAAAAAACGAGCAAAGCTCGTCGTCCGGGTACTATATATATATATATATATATATATATATATATATTTATATATTTATATATATATATATACTATATATATATATATATATATATATATTTATATATATATATATATATATATATATATATATATATATATATATATATTTATATATTTATACGTGGTAGAGCCATGCTGCAGTTATATTAGTAGTATAGTTGCAGCACGAATGGGTCGGCTCGACCGGGGAAGGACCACGCTCTCACAGAATACCAGCGTGAAATAGTAGCTTAATGCTGCTGTATTTCGTATGGTGAGTGTAGAGAACCGGAGACCCTTTTTACTGGAAACGAGGCTCCATCCATCTATATATATACTATCTGGTTTAAACTAGCTGACCCGGCAGTCATTGTTTTATCCTTTCCGGTAGATGGCGCGATGAGTCTTACTCAAAATTATTCAGAACTTTTTAAATGTAAATTGCGGCACTAAAACACAGTTGGCTGAATCCTTCAATGAAAAAGTAGAAAAAGCTTTTTTAGCAGTACGTTACTTTTAGGCCTCGATATTTCCAGTTAATTTGTATTTTTGGAACGTGCCCAAATTGCTTTGTTTCAGTAACTATAAATTGCAGTGCACCTCTATTTAGTCGTATTTTTAACCCAGTTATAGTAATGAACGTTAAATCGAATTTTATATATAACGAACATACGCATGAAATGAAATAGTTGTAAAATTTGTGTAGTTGGTTTTAAATATGTGACAAACAACCCGATGATACTATTAGATATGCATAGATGTACATATAGGCTTGGAATTCTGGACAGGGTTCTTATTAAAGGGATTTTAGTGTTTATAAGTTTGTATAAAAAGGGTTATTATAATATTAAGGAATTTATGGATGATAATAACCCCTTGGAAGTGTGATCGCTACCAAGCTATTTCTAATTTGTCTTGTGTTGTTTATTGTAAACATAATTGTAAGCTATTATTAGAAAAAAAATAGTCCTGCTGGTTCTTCACAGGACAGAGGTTTTTTTTTGCGAACCAGTGGTAAATGAAAAAAGTCACTTTCAATAAGTATTGTTATAATCTACATTGAATAAAAAAAGTTTCTGTTTCTGTTTCTGTATAATAGGTAGGTACCTTACTGAATTCAATCTTGTAAAAAAAAATATTTAGATCTGAACTTCCCGGTTAATGCAGAGGTAATAAACCCACATACAATTCTAAAATATATATTTATTTTAATTTAATTTTTTATGGTCATGTTTTCTGAATTTATTTTTATACGTTTGAATACTGATTCTGATAAAGCACTTAACGTGACCACCCGTTTTTGGTACATATCATATTAAGGAAAATAAATCATCAAATGTAATGTTTGTAAAGCTTGCGGCCAGTTGATTTCATCTATATATAACTAATCGTATAGCATCTGTTAGTGATCGTGTAACCTGTATTATATGTTTTTTTTTTTGTTGAGAGGATATGGTCTAAATCATGCTTGGATCCGATAAATGACGCTGTAGTTAAGTTATAAACATATTCTATATAATTCTAACAAAAACAACTTATTAAGAATTTTACTTTAATATGGCACCTATTTGAAAGTTGTTGCTAGTGCCTAAAATATTTATTTTTTTATAACTTATTATACACCTTAATAAACCAAAGGTGGAGCTAATGCCTTATGTCATTCTCTACCAGTAAACCCGGATTAGTCAAAATAAGTGTATTTTTAATTAATTTTTTTTTAATTATTATTAGTAATTAGGGCATAATAACAATCCATTAACTGATATGCCAGTGAAATCCGAACGTTTATCCGAAATTTTAAAGTTATAATAAACCTTTTATTTTTTTTATATGGAATAGGGTGATAGACGAACACACAGTCCACTTGCAGGTAAGTGCATGCTGTTGCCCATAGACATCCACATTTATCCTCGATTAAGTATCAATATGCAGGCGCATTGTCACCCCTGAGGACTAAGATGGAGTTCACCGTTTCCAGTAAAAAGGGACTTAGGTACTCTACACTCACAATACGAAACAAAGCGGCATTGAGCTGCTATTTTACGCTGGTATTCTGTGAAAGCGTGGTCCTTCCCCGGTCGAGCTGACCCATTCATGGTTAACAGCCATAATATAGTTGCAGCATGGCTCTACCACGTAAAAACCTGCAGACAAATCCTCAATTCCATATTCATACAACTCTTAGCCTCAGCACATGTGGTTTTTTATAGAAGAGATATATTTTTCATGAACATCTGCATCACCGGGGGAATCGGAAGTGCATTGCCCGCCTGCCAAGGCTCTGAAAGACCTCTCGAAGACCTCTTAGTCGTATCGGTCTAAGTATAGCTAGCTTGTCCCATAGTCACTTCTTATATGACTATGGAAAGTAATCACATACGACACCAAAAGGCATGAAATGGGCCTATGGATTATTTAAGTTTTTCTAGAATAATGAATGCGAACGAGCACACAGTCCACATGATGGTAAGTGGATGCTTTGGCCCATACGCACCTACGTTTATCCTCGATTTATTTATCATCATCAAAATGTCTTATTGCTCCTATGGACTAAGATAGAATGCCACGTTACTAATAAAAATGGTTTCTGGTACTCTAATTTTAATATACGAAGCACAGCATTAAGCTGCTATTTCACGCTGTTATCCTGTAAGAGCTTCGATCGAGCCGACACATTCGTAATCCAACCATAACATAGCTACAGCGTGACTATAGCACGTACATAAAAATGATAATATGGTAAAAATAGTTTTTTTTATAGAATAAGGATGACGAACAATCACACAGTCCACCTGATGGTAAGTGGATGCTATGGCCTATAGACATCTACATTTATCCTGGATTTAGAATCAAGACGCAGATGCGTTGTTACCCTGAGGACTAAGATGGAATGACTCGTTTCTAGTAAAAAAGGGTCTCCGGATTTCTACACTTACCATACGTAACACAGCAGTACTAAGCTGCTATTTTACGCTGGTATTCTGTGAGAGCGTGGTCCTTCCCCGGTCGAGCCAACCCATTCGTGCTACAACCATAATATAGCTGCGGCGTGGCTCTACCACGTATAAATTTTCATATTTTTATTTTTATTTTCAGCGTGTACCCAGATCAAGGCAGGTGCAGTAGCTCTGTTGAATAGCGCAGGACCTCTGCTCGGTGCAACTTTGGGCGCCATGTGTAGAACGCTGCACGCGCCTCACCTAACTGTTGCTCATAATACTGTTGAACGTAAGTGAAGTAACATAATTACCTATGTATGTCCCACTGTTGGACATTAGATTCCCCTGGAAGGGATAAGTCTGTCTATTGAAGAAGGGACCGAAGGTTCCTGAGTAGTAGCGGTGTAATAATATCCACTACACCATATCATCTCGTGGGTATCGTAAGAGGCGACAGACTAATAGCGACTAAAAATAAAAACTGCGATTGCCAACCCACTTGCCAAGCGTGGCAAATATGGGGAGGCCTATGTTCCGCAGTGAACTTTATAGAGTGTAATGGACGGTTGTATAGAAGATAATCTACCAGGAGCACATGACCCACAGAGAGGTGAAATTATTAAATCAACAGTAATATTACAACTATGACAAATATCCCCCTATGAGGCAATTTACGGTAACGGATGGAGAAGGAAAAGTCATATGAAAAGATCCCGGTAGGATTTACTTAGTGAACACTTCTTGAGAGAAACCGTTCATGGGAATGATGGTTTTATATGAAGTGATATAGTTGTGTTAAATTATAATATATGTATATATTATATATACTAGTGAGTTCAAATTATGTGTTATATTATGTCATATTATAATGGGCACAAGTTTTCCCTCGTTCATAATATTAAGCTATTATTTCAGCATGCTTATTATAGAATATGGGTGACAAACGAGCACAAAGTCCTGATGGTGAGCGGATGCCGTGGCCCATAAACATCTACATTTATCCTCGATTAAGAATCAAAATGCAGATGCGTTGTCACCCATGAGGACTAAGATGGAATGCTTAGTTGCCAGTAAAAAGAGTCTTCGGTTCTATTTCCCTAAGCTTCTAACCATGCGAAACACATTAGAGTACAGAGAAGTCAAGAAATATATTAACCGAAATCATAGTGGCCAAGTGTATGTGCAAGCACAGGTGCACTCTCTATACCCTCACTCTCATAGTCCGATGAGATGGTAATCCGACACGGCCAGCAATCAGAGGCATCATCAACGACTTTATGAGCTCGAAAAGGTCGCCTAATTCCTGACTCTGGGCCGCTACTAAGAATTTATTATCAGAAAAACCTAATAACTCATTATGGCCCGATCCGAGGTTCGAATCCGAGACTTCATTATCAGCAACCGCGTCAAACGACCACTAGACCAACTAGGCAGTCAATGGCCATTATGTAACAATCTACGGGGTTATTTTGCTATAACCGAACAAATTTGCAGAGTGGGTTCAGAATAAGTAATATAGAAAAATGGTGAAGAAAATTTAAATAGAAATAATCAAACATTCTGTCCTTTTTTCTTTTAAATTCAAAATGCGTAATGCATTATTTTAAATGATTTTACTGCGTATTTTCAAAAACTGCAATAAATGTATATAAATAAATGAACTTAAGTTTAAAATTTGGCTACTCTTTCAAAAAATAACCCAATATAACCATACGGTATAATCATCTCGTTTATACTGGATGACTTTTTTCCACCATCTGGAAAAAGATAGGATCTAACAGGTGAACGTAGTATAAGCCTATGGCACTGATATTTTACAAAAAATAAAAACAAAAATTTTGAATTAAAGAAACAAATCAATTAAAAACTATCGAAACTCAAATCATACCCACGTTAGTTTTACAATAACACAAATCGGTGACGGACAGCGGTGTTAAAGATGCGAGACGTCTGATAATGTCATCTTCAGTCGGATTGTGCGTCGCTTCCATCATTCATTTATACATAACGGGGTATCAATGAAAAGAGTATAAAAAAATCATTTACGTGGTAGAGTCACGCTACAGCTATATTATGGTTGTAGCACGAATGGTTCGGCTCGACCGGGGAAGGACCACGCTCTCTCAGAACACCAGCGTGATATAGAAGCTTAATGCCGCTGTGTTTCATATGGTGACTGTAGAGAGCCGGATACCCTTTTTATTGGAAACGAGGTATTCCATCTTAGTCCTCACGGGTGACACCGCATCTGAATTTTGATTCGTAATCGAGGATAGATGTAGATGGCTTTGGGCCTCAGCAACCACTTACTATCAGGTGGACTGTGTGCTCGTTTGTCACCCTATCGTATAAAAAAATCAAATGTTCGCTGCTGAACATAGGTCTCCCATATAGACTGTCCAGTTGACATTGTTTTTGCTTACTTCTTCTCGACTTCGCCCGCGTGTAATTTATGACGATTGGATTTTATGGGTTTTAATTATTTTACGCGGTATTATTCTTCTTAGGTCTTATTGTTTTTCTAAAACAAAAGTAAGCCTAAGTTACTCCTTATAACATCAGCTATCTGCCAGTGAAAGTCCCGTCAAAATCGGTCCAGTCGTTTCGTAGATTAGTCGGAACAAACAGACACACGGACAAAAATTTTAAAAACTCTTTTGTTATAAGCACCGTGGTAGTAAAAAACCCACACATAGCCGTCTATCGAGAACCTTCTCAGAAATGAGTGGGGCGTATATAGGCTGTAACTTTAACCGTTATTAAATTAAAATGCATTTAGTAAGAAAACGTTATTTTAACATTACAAACAGACGAGAAGAGAAGAGAGATTACTTAAACAATACGCATTGGTCATAAGCTGTGAGGTTCCTGTTAATTGTTTTATTTTATCTAAGTGATACTGATCAGGGTACTAAAAGGATGTAATTTAATTACTGTATAAGATACGTGAGGGTAATATGATCACCTTAAGCTTTGTCGCCCTATAAGACCACAGAATACTATAATTACATACATAATAGAACGGAGGAGTGGGCGGAGCCCGTGTAGCCACTAAAATGTCACTAACACGTCAATTCGTACGTATTAATGTCAACACGAGATGTGTTTTGACATTACAAACGTTTCCAAATTTCGCATGCAAATTATTTGGAAAGTGCCAAATTGCACGCTATTTACAAATAAATATATATTAAATTCTGTCTGTCAACACAGCGAATCGGATTTGTAATAGTGATAACACGACGTAATTTTTTGTATGTATGCTCCCGGCGACGTCGACCCTCGTACAAAATTAGCCATAGCCATTCTATTATATATTATAGTATTCTATGTATAAAACCAAAACTTGGAGGAGGATAGATACAAAAACATAAAGTCGTACACTATAACTAATATATTAATTAAAAAGTAGTAGTAATAAGCTTTAGCAGTAATTAGAAACACTTCGAAAATCAACGTAATATAAACTAAACTACATTACGCCATACTAAAATCGACTAAAAGATTTACTATAATATCAACTGTTAAAATGGTGTCGATAAATCTGCGTCCTTTTGAACCTTTAATATTTGATTGACTGATGAAGAGTTATCGAATCATATAGCTTTCTATGCAAATATGGCTATAGTTTTTGACTTATACAAAAGTGACCATATTAATCGGATGACCATATTAGCCTCACGTACTATAGTCATCGGTTCTTTATACGAGTCAAAATTTTCAAGTCAAGCGCCCGTCTACAAGTTTGTGAAAATTACATTAAAAATATTCAGTTACATAGATACATAAATTAGGTAGACACTTGAAGCTAATGAAAGCGTGGTAAAAAGTTAACTTTTTAATTTTCAGTCGCCAACAGATCAGACTTCTTCACCATTAACCTGTACCCTTCTCGTGAGCTGATGGACAGAGCCTTCGCGGAGTTGACAGCTTACCTCAGTTGGACAAGAATGGGCATCATCTACGAAGATTACGGATATGGTATGTTTTTTAAATACAAAATTGAAAGGTCAAATGAACTTACAGTTCATTTAGATGCAACTGCAGCCTATGGACATCAGGGCTACCAAATTAAAACAAGGGAGGCATTAGATAAGTTATCACCTCTGAGGACTATGATAAAAAACACGTATTACAGTTTATCAAACCATTCAGAGGCTTAACCGATCCGCCGTTTATAACCGTTATTGTAAAGTAAATAAATTAAAAACATAAACAAAAAAATATACGTGGTAGAGTCACACGCTACAGCTTTATTATGGCTGTATCATGAATCTGTTGGTTCCACCGGGGAAGGACCACGATGTTATATAATACCATCGTTAAATAGCAGATTAATGCTGCTGTGTTTCGTATGGTGAATGTAGATAACCGGAGACAGATTTTACTGGAAACGAGGCATTTTATCTTAGTCCTCAGGGGTGACACAGCAGCGTTAAGCTGCTATTTTACGTTGGTTTTCTGTGAGAGCGTGGTCATTCCCCGGTCGAGCCGACCCGTTCGTGCTATAACCAAAATATAGCTGCAGCGTGGCTCTACCACGTGTAATCTTACTTTACTTAATACTTTAAATAAAGGGTGTAGTATATCCAGTGCATGTTCCGTTCAATGCAGCGCGAGCGCTCGCCTAGGTTGGACCTGTATCAGTTTATTTCGCGCGCTCCGTCTCGTTTCGATATTATCATAGTGTGCGTCGATGGTCGTGGCTAGCGTTGCCAGGCGTCCGGATAAAGCCGGACACAGTCAGGCTTTTTGGTTGCGTGTCCAGCCAAATTAGTCGGTGTATGGCCCGTCTGGCTTTTGTAAGGCTTTTTGAAGGAGACAATCATTTTTGGCCCAAGTAGATATTTTAACGCAACTTAACTCTTAAAAAAAGATATCAATTTACTATAATAAATTGGCTAAAGATTTTATGAAAATCTAACCGGTATCATGATAAATAATACAATTAAGAATCAATACCTACATATAAATCACCGCAATCTGTTTATTCGTGAACCGTTTTCTCCGGAACTACTAAAATATTTTTTTAGTAGTTCCGAAGAATCCACCTAGTATTTAATATTTTGAAGAACCTACAACTTTTTTATCCTTTTTATTATTAACACTGTATTATTTTAACAGAATATCGATAAAATCTACTAGACAGTCGCACATTTAAGTTTTAGGTTATAATGAGATTGCCGTTTGATTGTTAATTTCTCACTACTCCCGTTAGATGCAGTAAAACTAATATCACTAGCGTAATCTAGACATATAAGTTATAGATCGACGTGCATTTCATTAAGTTACACAACAATTTGTATTGAGCCTATTCTTCATACAAAAAGAAATTGTATTTTTCACGTACTTACATACATAATATTGCAATTATTTACATTAATATTTTAATGAATATTGAATGATTAATTGATTAATAATAAAGAAGACTGATTTATTCAATTTTATTGTTATTTCGTTAGAATTTGAGAATATTTTATGGTGAATAATAAAAAGCATTGTTTTACTTAAAAATGTCATATTATACTAAGACTAAAAAATTAAGGGTGTCCGGCCTTATTACCAAAATGTCCGGCTAATGTCGTTGGTCTGTCCGACTTTTCGGCCTTAAGACCTGGCAACCCTAGCCGTGGCGCTGCTATTTTATGCTAGAGCATCGTCAACTACGCCCGCAATTTTTAATCGTTGGAAATATTTACTTAAGTAAAGTTTATTTCAATTTGTATAAAGTTCGCATAATTATTATACCATATAGTTAACTCATAATAGTTATTTTGAATGTAGCTGAGTTTTGTTACCAGTCGGAACGGGGAAAAATAAATACAAGTACGAGTGTGTCACGAAACGTAAAAAAAGAAATATCCTATCTCTGGAGAAAAAATAATATAGAATAAAAAATCTCTGCATGCTTGCCATATGGCCTGGCCCAGATTATGCAGTAAAAGTACTAAAAATTTACCAAGACGATAAATTTTGGATTTTGAATATGTTAGCTAAGTTACAAGTGTTTTATAAAGTGTGTCCTCTCTGAAATTATTGACTCGAGATAAGCTCGGTCAATGCCGTTGTGGTTAATATTTTTATAATAAAAAATATGGTAATTATTTGTAAGTACTCATTAAGAAAATATTAGTTACAGTTGGTTATTTTATTTATTAAAACAGGTTGCAATCATACTATTTATTTATTTATATCACTATGCTACCGTTAATAGATATAATCGATTATTAACCAACATCGGTTAACAATCGATTACTGTGGAACAATTAAAATATTTACGTGTACTTATTTCGTACGGTTCATAAATAATGAAAAATATATTAAATAGATTATAATAAATTAATTAGATAACATAAAAATGACACACTAAAAAATTTTCCATCCACTGAACTCCATCCTAAAAACACTTGTACTCGTATAATGGAAGATCAAGATCGTTTAGTCGCTATACTCACAGTACAGTAGTGTAAGCGACTCAATAGAGATATGAAATAAAGTGTCGCTCGCGTAAGTCATCGCCCGCTCGGAGCTTAAAATATCTAATTTTGCGTAACGCCGAAATGTAAGAGGGCTCAGTCAGCAGATCGGCAGACTAAATCCTTAAGCCGCATCAGTCCGCAAAGGGCGAAAGGCGGAGTTGTTATGTTAATTTTGATTCACAAGACAATAGACTGAATCCACTCAGTGATCTCTTTGTTAACGGTGTACACACTGAGTTAAACACGCTCAAGAGTTATTTATACTGCAGCGAGTGAAGTATCAGAATTTATATTTGTTTTATAAATGAACGTTTATTTTTTAATAAATGATTGTTTAATTTCAAAGCTGTTTGTAATTTTACAGAAAGGAATATAGCGAGGAAAGGCGGAAAGCATTCGCGGTGCTTTTTGGCCTGGATTAGGTCTTTAGGTTTATATATATTTTTTTTATATAAGCCATACTGACAAAAACATACTTACATTTCACTTGAGAATATAATAGAATAATTTTATTAAAAAAGTACAATTAACAATATAATATTTCATACGATTGTTATGAAAACATTAAGTAAATACTATATGCCTTTTGATAGATAAGGTCTGCACATTTTCTGGGACTTTGGTGTTAAAGCGTACATTGCACCATGAAGAAATTACTGACTCTTTATAGTCGAGTAACTGGTATAACTAACTTGTGCTTGTTCCTTGTACTTACAGAATGTACATCACTATTTATAATAAAACATCATTACAGCCCTTCACAATTCCACTGCTGAACATATGCCTCCCCCAAGGAATGTCACAAGGTCCTGCCACCTGTACTCATAGACTTCTTGCATGTCTTACCAGGTAATTACTCCATCTAGTGGGGGTTACCCTACATTTCGACTACCGGTATTAGGCTGCTGACTCGAGAAACTTTTTCCCCTTTGGTGGGCGATTCTTCGAGCTATATGGCCGGCCCATTGCCACTTCCAGCTTACTAAGCCGTTGGGCTATGTCGATCACTCTGGTTGTACTGCAGATATTCTCATTTCTAAGTTTATCACGCAGGGAAACCCCGAGCATAGCCCTTTCCATAGCTCGCTAAGCGACCTTGAGCTATCTCATAAGGACAGGATCACGTCTTAGATCCATAAGTCATCACTGGCAACACGCACTGGTTGTACAATCCTCGTTTTCAGGATTTGAGGTATACCTGGCGAGAAGATGTGTCGTAATTCCCGAACACTGTCCAGCCGAGTTGGATCCGTCGATTAACCTTTCGCTCGAAGTTGGACTTACTTTCGTAGTTCTAAATAGTCGGACTATTAGTCCCAGGTAAACATACTCGTCAACAACTTTTAGCTTAGTGCTCCCAACAGCTACCGGCATAGGTGTGATATGGACATTAATCATGATCTTTGTTTTGTCCATGTTCATCTTAAGACCTATCCGTTGGGAGACATTGAGCACAGTGCTTAGCTCCTCCAGCGATTCTACCATAAGGACTATAACGTCAGCAAATCGAAGGTGAGTGATGTACTCGCCATTGATGATGTTAATACCGTATCCTTTCCAGCTTGAAAAAGTTGTTTTGTGTAGATACATTAAATTTTCGTAAATATATTGGCAAGCTAAAGTTAATATATTTATTTCTTAAAATTTTTCTCTAAGAAATTCTTGTGGACCTAAGTCATAAATTACTCTTTCGGCTCTCTTCTGCAAAACAAAGATAGTTTCTATGACGAAATACGTTTGGTGTTTGGTGTGTAAAGATCCGGGGACCCTTTTTTCTGGAAACGAGGCATTCCATCTTAGTCATCAGAGGTGACAACGCATCTGTGTTCCGTCAATTTTTAATCGAGCATAAATGTAAATGTCCACGGGCCACAGCATTCACTTATTATCAGGTGGACTGTGTGCTCGTATGTCACCCTTATTCTATAATAAAAAAACGGACAGGAGTTCGTATCTGGGTTCTTAGCAGTCTGGATGTCTATGTGCCCGAGTCTGAGTGGCCGTGTCTGGGTATTCATGTCTGGGTGTCCGTGTCTGGGTATTCATGTCTGATTGTCCATGTCTTGGTGTCCGTGCCTGGGTGTCCGTATCTGGGTTCTATTCTGGTTAGGAAGATTCTGTGTAAAAAGTAAAGATTTAATTAATAGGATCAGGCGTTAGTTTGCGGAAATCCGTTACATTAAATATGTCCATATTAATTTGCTAACATCTGCGTTAAAAGAATTATGTATCCTATCTAATGTAAGAGCACCTCGCCCCTGCGACAATTTGTTGTACTCGGGGTTAGCTATCGCAAAGCTAATCATTTTTCTTTATACAGGATGTTTGGAAGGTCGATGCAAAGAGTTAGTTGTAAATTGTGGCCAGTTTGAAAGACAAATCATTTACTTTTTATTTTACTTTATTAAAGTAATGTGTAAACAGTCTAATGTAATATAATTCAGGCATCTGTGTCATGAAATAAGTTTATTACAGATGTTTGAAGTCAATGATTTATTTAAAGATTAGGAAAGCTGTTATTTGACGGCATTAAAAAAAACGGATGATGTTGTTTTCGTTCAAACATTTTTAAAAACATTGTTGGTTAGTTTTTTTCCTTTGAGGCATCAACTACGCGGATAGCTCACAAGTTAATAAAATTAGGCGAAATATTTAAAACAAATTTTTGTTTAAAATCATTTATTATTCGTGTTCAAAATTTTCGCCGCGGTTCCTAACATAAGCACGAGCCCGTCTTCTCACTTCTGTTGTTGTTATTTTTAACTTCATCTCCAGTTTAATCGTTTCAAACGCTGAATTAATTCTCTCAATCAATTCTTCTTTTGTGTTTATTTCCACATTCGTATAGACTAGTTCTTTGGCACGACCCCACACAAAAAAGTCCAATGGAGTCACGTCGGGTAACCGGGCGGGCTAAGGGATAGGCCCATCTCTGCCTATCCAGCTGTTAGGGAAGCAATAATTTAAGTGATCTCGTACATTTAATGTCCAATGCGCTAGACAACCATCTTGTTGAAAGATGATTTCTCGGTCTGTAGAGAATATTGGGGCCCCGGAGTCTTCTATAAGCTCTGGAAGATCATTTTGGGAATTCCATAATTGTTGCCATCCAAATTATCCGGTAATATATGGTGCCCAATCAGTGCTCTGCCAATTACTCCAGCCCACTCGTTGACCGAGAATTTCCTTTAAAAAGACTTCCGCTTTCTCAAATGTGGATTATTAGATTTCTCAGCCCATTGATGAAGGTTATGGAAGTTAGTAATGCCTTCCCTGGAAAATTTACTTATAGGATTACCGCAGAAGAACAAGAGACAAAGTCCAGCAGACCAACAAGCTGAAGCGGTAATACTTGCTATGTGGCTCAAAGAACGTAATTGATGGAGAAGAAAGGTTCTCAAGTGGCAGCGTCGTACAGCCAAGCTCTGATTCGATGAATGCTGGTGAATCAAGACCAAATAACACGTGAACACTTGAAGTCATACTGCCTTATTCATAAAAATCGACTTCAATTCAAAAAATGATTTTTTTATGGATGAGGGGGCAAGCAAGCATGCGGCTCACCTGATGTTAAGTGACTACCGCCGCCCATAATCAACCGTAACACCAGGGGGGGGAATTGCAGGTGCATTGCCGGCCCTTTAGAAAGGAGTAAGCTCTTTTTTTGAAGGTCCCCAGGTCATATCGGCCCGGAAAAATCACCGGTGGTAAACTATTCTACAGAGAGGTCGTACGCGGAAGAAAACTCCTTGTGAAACGTACAGTGGTGGACCGTTAAGCATCCAGATGGTGTGAATGGTATCGGGACGTTTGCCGCGTAGTGCGTTCACGAAATTTAGCGGCTGGGATTAATCCGAACAATTCCTCAGAGCACTCTCCATGGTATATGCGAAAGAAAATGCAAAGAGATGCAACATCTCTTCGCAGCACCAGTGAATAGAGCCGATCGGAAAGCACTCGGTCATCGACGATTCGAGCCGCTCTGCGCTAGATGCGGTCAAGTGGAAGGAGCTGGTACTGGGGAGCATCAGCCCAGAGATAGGAACAGTATTCCATGTGCAACCGAACCTGCGCCTTTTAAAGTTGCAGGCGGTGTGCCGGCATGAAATACTGTCCCGCTCTGCTGAGCACGCCAAGCTTTTTAGAGGCCTATTTGGCCTTCTCTTCCAAGTGACCACGAAACTGCACGTCACTCGATATGTCGACACCGAGTATTCCGATACTAAAACGTCTCCAAGTACCAGAACAAACTTGTGCCTGAAGCCGAGTCTTTGCTGAACATAGTCTCGGATTGGGGGCGACTAAATCTAGTTCAGTTTAAACCTCAGAAGACACAAGTTTCCGTGTTAACCGCTAAAAAAGAACCCCTTTATTGTATCTCCTCAGTTTCAAGGCACTCCCCCTTGCTGCCTCAGCTAGCATCAGAATCCTCGACGTCGACATATCGAATAGTGTGCAGTTTCGTGGTCGCTTGGAGGGGAAGGCCAAATTAGCCTATAAAAAATTTTGCATGCTCAGCAGAGCAGGAATACTGTTCTCATCTCTGGGTTGGGGCACGCCAGTGCCAGCACCTTCCATTTGACCGCATCCAGCGCAGAGCGATTCGAATCGTCGCCGACCGAGTACTTTCTGATTGGCCCGATCCACTGGCGCTGCTTAGGGATGTAGCATCCTTTTGCGTTTTCTTTCGAATCTACCAAGGGGATTGTTCTGAGGAATTGTTCGGATTAGTTCCAGCCGCCAAATTTCACGAACGCACATCACGTCATAATTTCCGATACTATTCTCAACATCTGGATGCTTGGCGGTCCACCACTATGCGTTTTACTAGGAGTTTTCTTCCTCGTACAACTTCTCTGTGGAATTGTTTACCATCGGCAACTTTTCCGGACCGATACCACTTAGGAACCTTCAAGAAGAGAGCTTACTCCTTTCTAAAAGGCCGGCAACGCACCTGCGATTCCCCTGGTGTTGCAGTTGTTCATAGGCGGTGGTAGTCACTTACCATCAGGTGAGCTGCATGCTCATTTGCTCCGTATTCTATATATAAAAAAAAAACAAAAAAAAAAAACTGTCGTTATTAGACAAACTAGTAAACAATATTTTAGGGTGTTAAGAAATATTTTTAGAAAATATTTTTTTATTTCTGATTATTTTCATCAATGTATTACTATAGTAATGAAATTTTCTTTTATTGCGCTGTTTAACATGACATATATACTCGTATATACTAATTGGGTACGCATTATTTTAATTTCGATAGCTTTAAATTTATTTATTTATTTATTTAGATTAAAATGTTGTTGTTATTTTTTTTGTATTGAAGGTTTATTTCAATTTAGTTGTATTTATTGATAAATCATTTTCATAAAATGTTAATGTACAAAAAATAAAAAAATCTGTTTACCAGTTACACCCTATTTTTTCCAAACGGTAAAAAGTCATCAAGTATAATCGGGGCTTCTTTGCAATAACCGACCAAATTTACAGAGTAAGTTCAGAATAAGTAATATAGACAAATGGTGAAGAAATAAAGTAAAGAAAATAAGGTAAAGAAGTATTACATTATTTTAACTGTTTTCGCACACATTCGTAACGGTCGATCGGTAGGCAAAAACGTTATTGCCCATCAATAATATATATATAACATTCAATTTGGGATAATTTCAAATAAAAGTACAAGCTTTATTTACTCGTATTTTCAAAACCTGCAATAATGATATGACATTTATATGCTTGAACTTTAGTTTAAAATTTGGCTACCTTTTCAAAAACAACCGTGTATATGTATCGGAACAGTAATAAATGTAAACAGAGCGTGACGGTCACGGGAGTTCAGTGCTTTTTCGCTATTTCAAAAGTGTCTAAAGAAATTTTCACTTCAAAAAGACACAATTACACTTGTATTATATTTTTCTAGGTGAAGTGAACATCCTGAACCTGGCACGCGACGGTCGCGACATGTACACTGTACGATGCAGCGACGTTAGGGACTACAGACGCGGTCTGCAGCAACTGAAAGCGCAACGGATAACGCACATTATCGTCGACACAGACCCGAATCATCTCAGTGAATTCTCTAGAGCTGTGAGGTAGATGTCACTATTTTTCAGCCGACTTCAAAAAAAGGAGGAGGTTCTCAATTCCACTGTATTTTTTATGTGTGTTATACCTCAACACTTTTTTTGGGTGAACTATTTATGATGATTTTTTGTTTGATGTGTATTCGTGGAAACCATTGTGATTCTTTGTTTAATTGAAAGGTGGTGATTTTTATGTGGTACACAAATCTGATAAAGATCTGAACAGTCGTTTTTGAGTTATACTTAATAATGCGTATTTACGTAAAATTTCATATGTGCTAGAGCCACGATGCAGCTATATTATGGTTGTAGCACGAATGGGTCGGCTCGACTGGTGAAGGACCACGCTTTCACAGAATACCTGCGTAAACTAGCAGTTTCAAACTGCTGTGTTTCGTACTATCCGGTGTACTGTGTACTCGTTTGACACCTTAAATCTCCGATCTGGATCTCTCTAAATACCGTCACGTTAATAGAGCCGCGGTAGCTCAGATGGTTAGCACTCGCTGTAAATTTTACAGTTTTCAAGTAAGAAGAAAATTTATTTCGGAGATATGTGCCCCAACACGCATTGGGGCAGCGCGGCGGACATTTGCTTGTCCTAAAACCCTTGCTTGTCAGAAATGAGAGGAGGCTTGTGCCCAGCTGTGGGACGTATGTAGGCTGTAACTAATAGATACTGCCTGAGCGGGACGCTAGTTAATATGTATTGATTAAAATACTGTAAGATATATAATATACTAAATTACATTGATATACTTTTTGTTATCTTTTACAGATTCTTCAATTGCAGATGAATAATGAAAACTACCACTATATTTTTACATCATTTGTAAGTATCTTTCCTTTTCTTTTGCTTCTTTTCTATTTTTATATAAGATGGCCAAACGATAACGCGGTAGAACCACGCTGTAGCTATATTATGGTTGTAGCACGAAAGGGTAAACTCGACCAGGGACGGACTCCGTTCTCACAGAATACCAGCGTAAAATAGCAGCTTGAACCGGAGACCCGTTTTACTGTAATCGAGGCATTCTATCTATCTTAATCCTGAGGAGTGATAACGTGTTGTCACCTCTGTGAAATAAGATGGAATGCCTCGTTTCCAGTAAAAATCGTCTTCGGTTCTCTACACTCACTCTACTATTGGAGTTACAACGATTTAGATTTTCTTCAACAAATTTATTAGCTTTGGCGCACTTTATTATCGAACAATCCAATAATTATCGATAAATTTCGGCGTAACCTACTACTTAGACGTCGTCCACTGTTAAATACCGAAGAGCGAATGACTACCCCAATATTTTGTTTCATAAGTCGTGTCTTTATATTTTTGCATGACCGGAAACGCTAAATACACGAACCGGATGTAGTCTTACAATATTTTGATAGTTGATAGAATCAGGCGTTACTTTGCGGAAATCCATTATAATAAAAAATAAAAATATAAATTTCTTTGCAACTTTCCGCTAAACATATAAAA